ACAAGTACTAAAGCAGAAAATAAAGTTCATTACTTCCATTCCTTTAATATGGGTATGTATCAGTTCAGGCCTCATAGGGAGTCCATGATGTATTTAAATTAGACAATCAAACATAAAATGTAATTACACAACTCCTCTGATTAACAGTTAGTTATTGTGTGTGTGTGTGTGTGTGTGTGCGCATATATATATGCCAGCTGACAAGAACCAGCTGACAAGAACCTACGAGAAACTAGAAATCCGAAGAGCCACCATCTTATGTGATCTCTTGTTCCTACGCAACTGCCGAGACAACAACTTAATTCCCACATGCTTCCAACTTAAATTCCACTCTAAAACCCCAGCTACCGAAAGGATCCTGAAACGAACTGAACTATCCCTAATCAGAAACGAACTACATAAGAAAAGATACCTACTAAACCAAACCAACAAAGATCTGCTCACTCTTCACCTCAAACTCTGTAACAAAATCCACCCTGCACTCTGGGACAAATGCAAACAACTAGCCGTCTGGAGAGCTGAAACTGAGACCTCACATAAGACAGACACACACACCAACAAACTCCACAAACTAGAGAAACGCCAGAAGCCCAGCCACCCTCCACAACAACCCATGAAACAAACAGTACATAACATATCAGACAGGATCCTCACCTCAACTGAAACCAAAGTACTCTCCAAAGGTTTCAACTTTGCAGTCGCCCCGAGACGCATCCCCACGGAAAACATCATATGCGGAGTCGAAGCTAGCCTAACCAAAATCAACCCAGATGAAGCCAATAAAATCAGACTTGAAGTCACCAACATCCTCTGCTCCAGCAAACCACCCAGAAGCAATTTACACAAAGAAGAACAGAAAGCACTCACCAACCTGAGGAAAGACAACAACATAATCATTCTCCCAGCAGACAAAGGTAATGCCACTGTTGTGATGAACACATCGGACTACCAAGCAAAACTATCAAATCTACTCCAAGACCCTACCTACCAACCTATAAAAACAGATCCCACCACCTATCTGGAAAAAACCACCAAATCCAAAATAAAAGCCTCTCCTATCAGTGAAGAAATCCAGCTAAGAATCATCCCCAGAGAAAAATCATCCAGATGCCCCAAACTCTACGGCCTCCCCAAGATACACAAAGAAGGAACACCACTCAGACCAATAGTCAGCTCCATAGGCTCACCTCTACAAAATCTCGCTAAATTTCTCGCTAAGCAACTTCAGCCCTATGCAGAATCCATCTCTTCACACGTTACAAACTCCTTCCAGTTCATAGAAACAATAAAGAAGCAAAACCTACATCCCAATGACCTACTTGTGAGCTTCGATGTTGTATCTCTCTTCACACAAGTGCCCATTAATGAAGCCTTGACAGCCATTCAAAACAAATACAATCCCCTCGAATACATCCTGGACCTGACCAACCACTGCCTAACCAACACGTACTTCATCCACAATGGACAAAGATACAAACAGATAGAAGGAGCACCTATGGGATCACCCCTCTCACCGGTCATCGCAAACCTGTACATGGAACACTTTGAAACCAATGCTTTAGACAAGTCAGAACACAAACCCAAACTTTGGCTCAGATATGTTGACGACACCTTTGTAATTTGGCCACACGGGAAGGAAAAACTAGATAGCTTCCTCACACACCTCAACAGCCTACACCCCAAAATACAATTCACTATGGAAATAGAAGCCAACAACCAACTTCCCTTCCTTGACGTCCTAGTCTACAAAAAACCTGATGGCTCCCTAGGACACACTATCTACCGGAAAAAAACACACACCAACCGCTACTTACATGCACAATCACACCACCACCCTGCACAAATAAACTCCGTAGCCAAGACTCTCATCTCCAGAACCAAACGCCTGGCTGACAAAGACCACTTGACAACTGAGTTACAGAATCTCTCAAATGTGTTAATCGCCAATGGATACCAGCAAAACAGGGTTACGAAACTAATCCAAAAAGAAACACCCCCAAAAACCAAGACACAGAAGAAAACAATGGCATGGCCCTCCTTCCTTATATCAAGGGCACTACAGATAAAATTAGCAAAATCCTCCATAAACACAATATCAAAACAGCCTTTTGCACCAACCAAAAAATAGCCAATATCCTCAGAAACCCCAAGGATAAAATCCAGTTGGAAAACCAAGGAGTCTATGAAATACCCTGCAAAGTCTGCCCAGCCACGTACATTGGACAAACAAACAGACGAATAAATGCACGTATCGCAGAACACAAGAATGCCGTCAAAAAAGAAGAAAAAACTTCCTCTCTTTTCCAACACATGAAAGAAACAGGACACAAAATTAATTTTGCAGATTCCAAATTGCTCTTTAACATGGAACATCACCACAAGAGAATAATCATGGAAGCCATCGAGATAGAGAAACACCCTCACAACATGAACAAGCGTGACGACACATCCCGCCTGCCAGACATCTGGAAATTAGCCCTCCCCACAAAAACTGACACCAGATCCAGAGGCACACAGAACGCCATCACCAATCAACCACACCAGACCCAAACCCAGACCCTCTCCACAGATAAATTACAGACACCATCCAGTAGCCAAACCATGGTGGCACCTCCGGATGCTGCACCCCCCTGCAATCCCTACACAGATCTGGCTGGCACAGGCCACAAAACCACAGCTCGCCCCTATACACGAAGCCAAGCCAGAGCACAACTAAGTGCAGTACAGCCATCTTCTCAGAAAAACTCTTCACAAAGTTCAAGAGGTCAAGACACGAAGGCTTTAGCAACTAATCCACACCTAATGACCCACCTAAGTGGTACTCAGGATATCACTCAAGAAATCACTCAAGATATCCCTCAAGTAATTAAGGAACAAAAGAAGAAAAGGCACACTAGCCTGGGAACTTCCTCTCTGCCCAGAACATTGGAGGCTATACACCACACCTCCTCAACAGTATTTATAGGAACTCAAACACTGAGATCCTGCTCTGTTCCAGTAACAAGAAGCCGAAAGCACCAGCCTGAAGATGATGAGTGAGACCTCGTCGAAACGTCGCCTAGACACCCCAACTTTTACACGGGAAGACACCCGAGGACACCAAAACCTGCATATATATATATATATATATATGAAATCTCCAGAAAGCATGGCAAAGATGTGAGTCACTTCAACTTTTATGTTATTGTCAGCTCTGACAAATTATGCTTCCGTACAGATGCTATTTAACACTGCATTTACAATGCAAAGACAATATAATTACATTGGTATGCCAACAAAATGTGCAATAATATCATATGCCCTCATCCCCATTGTACACTGTGAATGAACATTTGATATATTGGTGGTCAGTATTTCACACCATTAGAAAACACACATCTATAGCCTGTAAATATCTATATTTATACCCACCAAAGAGTGTCTGCCTCAAGCATATATCTAAGGGCATTAACATTTAGTGACAGAAGGCCAGCTTTGGTTATATTTAGTGACAGAAGGCCAGCTTTGGTTATATATCTGTGTCTCAACATTACTAAATTTGTTTTGAGGGTTGCATTCAATGGTGGCTCTATGCTTGTGCAAGGCAGGGTACCTCATTTTTGCTGATCCCTCCTATTCAACACATCCCCCTATGGCTCCCAAAAACTTTCCCTTGGGGTTGAGGGACCCTATGGAATGGTATGGAATATGGTATAGAAGGCAGGAGGGGGGGATTAGTGAAAATGAAGTGCTTTTCCTTATGCTGGAGAAAGTATTTCTGTTAGCACAAAGTGAGCACTGGATACAACCATGAGTACATATGGCTCTACATCAGGGAACATTAGTAGGAACAGGATTATACTGTTAATTCGACCCTATTCCTAGAGTAACATAAATTTTGGTACGTAAATGACTTGCAAAACTGCATTTGCACCTCCATTATAATTTCTAAAGGGAAAATTTTAGATGTAAGTACAGTCCCCTCATGAGAAAGATGTGTGAGTTCCCTCTAGGGTTATAGTACATGAATACATGTAGGGGAACAAGGTAATGCCTTGTCAGATCACATGTTGGCACCATAACAAAGCTAGCAACCAAATAACTATAAAAGGTAGGGTTTTTTATTATGAAATAAAGCCATAAAAATTAATTCAGCAACAAATTAACTCATGTGGTCTTTACACAGTAGAGTTCTTATGTTTAGAGTTAATTATGCAATCCCAACCGGCATCTAATAACACTGTAAAAATATTTTACACTATAGTGCTGTGCTCTGTATACACATCTTGGCTTGGCAAATCAGACACACACAGGCACATTATGATCAAAACCATGGACATTATGATGCATAATCATAACACAATGGAAATATAAGCCTGCTTGCAGTGCCACTTAAAATGTGGCAACTGAATATTTTATTAAAAGCTGGGTCTGAAAGAAACCCTGATATGAAGATGCCTTTGTTTTTTGTTTGCTTCTAGTGGGGGAAACAAATGTGTGCCCTAATTATCTATAACTAGTGAAAATTAAGACATTGTTTCAGTTTCATCTCATCGGCATGTACTAGACATAAGTCCTAATTTTGCCAGTGACATAGAAAACTAAACTAGTTCAGCTAAGCAAACCAGAAACATCTAGACAGATTTTACATTACTGTAATAAGCACAAAAGATGTACAGCATGCTCATCTACGCCAAAGGTCTGTCAAGAATCTGTTTCAGTTATATGTGTGACATAGAAGCATCTGTTAGCAAATGTTGTTTGCTTTCTCTCCCCTGCAAACAGTACTTGAATTCTTAATATTCTGTTTATTTAAACATCAGACACTCCCTTAAAGAAGATTTAAATAAAAAGCATGTTCATCGTTCTCTTTGTTATTAATAAAACACACCTTTATAGCACTCAGTGCCATTAACACAGAGAAACACAATTTAAAAGTGAGCACATCCCTTTCCCGTAAGCTGAAAGGGCTCATTCCTCATAGTATAAAAGAATTCTATAATTCAAATCACTTGACTTACCTGCCACTGCTTCATGAGCTCCCGAACCCCTTGGGCATCCTCTAGTATTCTCTCTTTGTGTGTGGCATTTTGCAGAACATTGGCAGTGGTTTCTGCTTCTGTAAGCCAGGCGAGGAACTTTTCCAGATCCAGGTAGAATTGTTGTAGCAGCCTTAGGGCTGCTTCTAATGCGGCCTCTCGCTCACTAACTCTGTGAAAGCACAAATATAGTCAAATGCAGCGTAGTGATAGGAATCAGGACAGGGATAGTTTGTAGAGAGAGGGAAGCAGAAAGAGAGTGTGAGCAATTTTCAATAAATCTGTAAATAACACCACAATAAAATGAGGGGGGATAAAAATGTTTGTGTTGTCTGCTTTTCTATGTCTACCAGTTAATGTTCATTTCTACCTATAGTAGAAAGAGCAAGGTAAGGGAGGAGGGAGGGAAGAGGCTGACAAGACAAGTGGAATTGCTTCTATGGATATGAACACTGGTTGTACTTTATTTTTATTTTATTAAACTTAGAAAAAGAGCTCCTTAATCAAAACTCTCCCCTTAAAATCATCTCTATAAGATGATTGTCAGGTGCCACATAAAATATTTCTTGACCACTAATCAGGAACTATAATTTACCATAAATACTGGTATATCTAAGTTGCAAGGCTAGAGGTCCCATATATCACTTTGAATATATATTGTTTCTATCTGTCCTTGCTATCCTTGCTATCCCGGCTATTGGTTTTTGATAAGGATACTCTCAACCTAAAGTAACACTGGTTCCAATTGAAAAGTTAAGCACCTTCTAAAAATCCTTCAAGTTGATACTCGCGGTATTTAAAAATGCATAATTTGGGCCCTATTAAATGAAGAAGCAATTAAAGACCTCAGCTTTTAGATAAATGAGCATTTCTGAGAGAACTCTTGTGGGGGTTTTTCTACCTTTGCTCAATCCCTAAATGTACTTTTCATGAAAGCAATTGTACTAGATTTGGCTTTAACACATGTACTTCTGTAACATATGTTTCTCTTATTCATGTATCATGTAGTCAAGAACTACATTCAAAAGCTAGATTTGTAAAGCAGACTGCCTGGCACACTGTACATTAATGTGTGAAGGTCAATAATCATGCAAAACTGGCTGTGGCTTTAGCACCCGCGGAACATATTAGGCCATTAACAACTCCTGTAGAGCTGAAGCAGCAAGGCTCAAGAAATGAGTGGTTTATTCATCATAAGGTGAATTTTTGCTGAACACAGTCTAACGCAGTACAGTTTCTGCTCTGAGAATGGATAACAGCATTATAGGTTGTTCTTATCCTGTTAACATTAAACATGTGGAACACTTGCAGAGAACTATCAAACAGCCATTGTCCCCAAAATATACATTAACATCTTCAACTATATATATAAATGCTCTGAATTTTGAATGTACAAGAAGTCAAGCCACATTCAATGTACACTTGAAAAGAATATGAGTAGCACCTTGTTCCAATAATCACAAGGCAAGTATAAAAGGAAAGCAACAGAATTAAGCCTGAATCTCTTCCTCCATCCCCCAAGATGAAGCTCACCATCTGAATATGATTGCCAAGTTACTTTCCCAAGCTACTTACATTGAGTACAGTATATCTTTATTAGCTGGCACTACATTAACAGTTTTTCCTTCTCCAGAGCAGGACTCTCAGCTATTAATTTATTTTCACTTCTTAAATGAAGCCATTGTTGACATTTCTGCCTTTATTTCTCTTGAACATTTGGAATCTGGGTTTCAAGAGACTGGGGGGGGGGGAATGCAGCACTATAAACTACTACTCTTTGTTCCTCCTCCTTAAATTAATTAGTATAAATTTGAATTAGAGCTTAGTCTGGAAACTGTACCAGAGCAGCCCTGGAACATGTGATGTACAATAGTGCCAATGAACAGAATACCTTTTTCTTGCCACTAACTAACCCTAACTGGGCTAATGAATGGAACAAGTAGTATTTCAGAGAAAGCCACCCTGTAGGTCCTGGCTTTCTACCTCCTACCTGGCAATCTAAAATTGTCTTCTCTAGGACCACAGACTGCATTTTCACATGTCATTAGTGTCGTGCAGCATTCACAACAACCACTGACTCCTCCCCAGCACAATTTAGATGGCATGTGGCATCTGCAACCTTTGCACCAGATAATCAAGTCAACATGTAATTTGCATGTCCTTCATAACCCAGCAACATAGATGTCACTAAATACAGAATCAACCACTACCAGTACCCCCAGCCCACCCCCCAGGAGGATTATACTCAGTGCAAAAGGATATCTGTTTGCCTTGTCACACCCCAAAGAATGGCTCCATTTTAACGGATCATTTCCCTCCTCCTCAGAGTGATGCTCTCCTCCAAGACCCTCACTTGTCTACATGTGATCATCATGTGATTAATGTTTGTTAACATGTTTTTCGAACTGCTGCTACTTCTAAACTATGCCGCAACCACAGTATGCTCAGAACTATTCTGGTAGTTTACAAAGGTTTACATGAAGGAGGCGGCTTGGTATACAAAGAAGGGGAGGCTGCACCAGACAAAGAGAACAGTATGACAGAAGGCATGACAGTGTGGTGTAGTGGTTAAGAGCGTAATCTGGGGAACAGGGTTTGATTCCCTGCTCCTCCACATGCAGCTGCTGGGTGACCTTGGGCCAGTCACACTTCTTTGAAGTCTCTCAGCCACACTCACCTCACAGAGTGTTTGTTGTGGGGGAGGAAGGGAAAGGAGAATGTTAGCCGCTTTGAGACTCCTTCGGGTAGTGATAAAGAGGGAAATCAAATCCAAACTCTTCTCTCTTCTTCTTTTGGGGGGGGGTTATCTTTGGTTCGTACTCTCTCCCCCAAAGCCTTGACACTTAAAGTCAGTGCTTTTTTTCTGGGGGGGATGCAGGGGTACGCATACCCCTAAACATCTTGTGAATCTTTGTACTTCTGTCCATTTACTGTATTTATTTTCCCCGATTTGAACTATAAAATGGTGGTTTTCTTGAGTCAAAGCAAGAGTACCTCTAAACATTTTTTAAAGAAAAAAGCACTGCTTAAAGTCATTCATTTTTTAAAAAAGGTATACATTTCACATTTAAATCTTTCTTTTCCCAGTATTAACAGTTTCAACCTTGTAATATATTATATATTTAGATATAATTTATGAAGATCATTACTATCAAAATTTGTACATGATCCAAGATAAGAGGGGCTGTTTGGAGGCAGGAAATGCTAAAGTTTTCTCCACAGATAAAACAACTTGAAATAACAAGATATATTAACATCTTAGTAAGAATAATGCATTTTAATTAAGAAAACAAGTTTGAGACAAAGAGGCTTATGAGTTAATCCTTCTTTTCATTTTTCTTATTATGAACTTTAAGAAAATTAAAAAGGGATACAGTCTGTCACTGCAAAAGGAAGCTTCTTAATTAGTATAATATTAAAAGAAACACGATAGCTTCCTTAAATTGCAACAATGTAACAACAGATCTTGGCACATACCTCACTAGCTACTGAGGAACATTTTCTAAGTTTATGAATGGTGAGCACAAACATAATATCTGAATTATAGATCAAGAGTAATCAAATATTTTGCATACTCATAACAAAATTACATTCAGTATACTCACATATGTTGAAAAATGATATCACAATATGTAAGAAAAACAATCTCACACGAAATTAAAACAATACTGAGGTAAGAATGCAAGCTGAATAAGAATTTCAACTACTGTTGTTGCGAGACCTTGAAACAGATAGCAGTTTTGGGTGCCAGCCCTTTACATCTTGAATGACAAGAGCAATCCAATAATGTGAATAAAAAGGGTAGCAATATATCAGGACATATTTTATGGTCTGGAAGATCAGACAGTGCTTTGCATAAATCTTATTTTCCCACCAGAAACAAAGTGGCTATTCGTTATTGAGATGTGGAGAACATTACAGATACACAAAGATAAAATCTTTGTATCAGTTTTAAAAGCAGAAAATAAAAATAAATAGATGCCTAACTGATTAAAATAACCAAACCCCAAATCCTTGTCACTGACTTTGGATTGCTCCCATTGAATAATCAGTTGTTGTTTTTAAGAAAGAAGTTTACTTTGAGGTTAGCGTCACTGACAGTTAATTAAATCTTACAGAAATAGACACTGGAAAAAACTGCAGATGAGACGGGGGAAATAAGACAAAATTACACTCAGAGTAGAATCATTGAAATTAATTAATGTAAGTTACTTGTGTATGACTGTTGGATAAATTTAAAAGGGTTTCCTAGACTGGAGGCATCCGTTCCAGAAACCCAAAAGAAAAGTTTGCAGGTTTCAAGTGAAAATATAGACCTTTTTTGAAACACAAATGTGCATAGGGACAACCTCAAAAATAATGAGGCTGCAAAGAACCACATCCAAAAGCAATGTTTTTTATACACTTCCAGATTAAGTGTGTGATTTCTATTCACCAATAAAAGACTTACAACAATCTTAACAATTGTAACCCAATGTCATCATCCTGAACCAATCAAAATCATTTGGCTCTTCAGATCAGCCTTCATCATAATATCATGTGATTACATATACCGTATTGGCCCGTATATAAGCTGCACCTTTAAAATTTGGGGGGGGGGGAGAGAAAAAAGAAAAAATACCTGAATATAAGCCGCTCCATTCCTTGCTGCTCCTGGCTGCATACTGGGGGGGGGGGGGGAGAGCCGTGCTGCATTGCCGATGGCCTTTCCCCTTCCTTGCTCTCTCCCTTCCCAGCCTTGGGGGAGAGGACAGGGGGACTATGCATAGGGCTGGCGCCACTTTGCCGCACTCCCAGCACTATTTGCCCTGCGCACCTGGCTGCATACCATAAGGTTGCAAATATAAGCCACACTTTAACTTTTCACGGTTGGAATTTGGAGGAAAAGTGAGGCTTATATTCAGGCCAATACGGTAATCATTTTTCAATGTCTTTATTAAGACTTGGACTAATTTTCCTTTTCATTAAATGTCTTCCAATATCCTCTTTCATCTGTCTACAAAACAATTCAAGATTAATCACAATTGCAATGCCTAGCTAATTCTCTTTTCATGCCTACAATGACCATCATAGATTCTAACAGTTTATTCTTTTCAGTGTTCCAGAACAACCATTCACTACATACAGTACCTAAAAGCAGCTAGTTCCGTACTGTAAAAGGTAGGCAGGCTT